CCTCTGGAAGAGCGTCTTCTCCAGGAGCCTGGGGGAAAATGCCAGGAACGCCTTCTGGTGGTTTCTGACTGGTTCAGGGATGTCTTGCACAGTGGGAGCTTCAAGAGGCAGAAGCTGATAAGCAAGATTAAATTTAGGAAGCTTTGTGCTTCGACCTAGTGCCACAAAGTGCATTTTCCTGCCCTGCTAGCTAATTTGAGAGCTGATAGTTTTTACAGTTGCAGACTTCTGTGCAATTTATGCTATGTTGAGTTCCCTCGTTTACCAGATCCTCCTTTCCAAAGTACAGCTGTCACTATCAGGGAACAACAAAGTGTGTTTCTGAAGCTCCACTACTGTGTGTGAAGCTCTCAGTCATACCCAGGTGAGTGCCATTCTTCTGGTTGGATTCCCCTTTGAGATTCCTAACAACTGGGTACCAATCCTGAAACATGGCCATCCATTTTTCACCCCCGTGATTGGGACAGTGAAGCTCTAGCACTGGGCTCAGGACTCAGCCCTTGCACTTACACCGTGTCTGATAACTGGTGGCTGGGCTGTGAGATTCTCCATGCTTGGTCAGCTGGAGCCCTAATCTAGCAAACCTGAGTTTGGGGATGTAGGAGAGATAAAGGCATGAAGACCTTAATTGGCAATTGGTGTTTGTAATTAAAACACCACCATAGTTAGAGGGGACCAAGAAAACACTTCTGTGTAATTCTCAGCTTCTGTTGGTTGAAATTCAGTTGGATACATCTCCTGATGTATCTAATGCTCAGTTTCATAGGAAAGTGACAAAGGTGAAGTGAAGGTTCACAACAGTTTAATAGCAAAAGTGGTGCTCAGAAAACAAAATAAGGTTTGTCATTCCACTGTACAGCAGCCTGACATGGATCTGTCAGATCAGTCCCACATTGCTTAGTGGAACTGTATGGATTTCCGTGAGTCCACAGTCCATACTGAAACAATACTGCTGAATACAATCACAATTTCTTTTCATGCATTAAGAATTCTCCTTCAGAGAATCATGGAATCATTAAGGTTGGGAATGCTCTCTAAGATCACGTAGTCACACCACATACTTACCATCAACGCTGCCCACTAAACCATGACCCTAAGTGCTACATCTACGCTTTTCTGAAGCACCTCCAAAGATAGTGACTCCACCAGCTCCCTGGGCAGCCTGTTCCAAAGTTATTACCACTCTTAGGGAAGAAATGTTTCCCAATATCCAAACTGAAACTCCCCTGGTGCAACTTGAGGCCATTCCCTCTCGCCCTATCAGGTGGGAGAAGAGGCCAACCCTCACCTCGCCACAATTTCCATTTAGGTAGATGCAGAGAGCTATAAGGTCCCTTGAGCCTCCTCTTGTCCAGACTAAACAACCCCAGTTTCCTCTGCCACTCCTCTTACTTCAAAACTTTGGGGCAGCTTTGATAGCCATAACTTGAAACCAGCAAGCAGACACAGCCAGCAATTGCAGAGCTTCACTTCAGCTGCAAATATACATTCAACACATGGAAAAAAAACACTATTTTTTTTTTCTTCCATACAAAATTGTCTAATATAACAGATGTGAGTTTTTCCACGTTAAGGTGGAGACCTCTGTGATTCCTGCGATGCTGCACACCAGGCTTCACAACACTGGCTGGCAGTGTCACAGGTGCGTGCCCTCAGACCGGACCCACGCTGGCCGTGAAGGTCAACCAGGCGAAACGGAGGAGGTGCAGCGCTCCGGCCCGCCGAACCCACCACTCCCGCAGCCCGGCCGAGCTCAGCAGCTCCTGCCTCGGCCAGGTTCTTCCCGCGGTGCGGGGGCGCCCCCCGGCGGCGACCGAGGGAGCGGCGGGCTCAGGGCGAAGCGGCGGCGTTGGTTCCGCGCGGCCCGCGGCGCTGCGGCGCCCCCTTGCGGCCTGCCGGTGCCCGAGGAACGCGTCGGGCGGAATCAAAACGTTATCAAATCCAACAGGTGCGCCGTGGAGACGGCGGACGCTGCTCTGAGGCGGTATCGGGCAACAAGGGATGGGAGAACATGGCTGAGATTAATGCTGCGGGAGATAGCGGCCTCGGGAACAAAAGGAGTGGGAGGTTAAGCCCTGAGGAGCTGCTCACTGCCATGGAAACGTATCTCCTTCTGCTCATTTATATTTTGGGATTTGTTTTATGGAAGATTTGAATGACATAACAGAAATCTAGCAAGGAAGCCTGTATGCATAAAGGAACTGAAGGGTTATACAGACAGCACAGCCACAGCTTCTGGTGGGAATGCAATTTGATGCTGCTTCAAGCCAACAATAGAAAAGACATTTTTTTCTCCCTTTTATCTTCTAATGCACAGAAGAAATGCCAAAGGCCTGAGTTGTTTTGTTGTGGCTTTTAACATTAACTATTCCACCAAGGGGCTTGGGAATTAAGAGCTCCATGGCAGCACCTGAGAGGAGCAACTGAGACCTGGTAGCAGGTACTGAACTGCACCAAACTGCCTTTCAGTGCATTGGGCAGGAAAGGGTAAGAGGAGGAACCCAGAATTTCTGGCCTCCTGTAGGAGAGCAGGTAGTGTGCTTCAGCCGTCTCTCAAATCTTAGGGCCTTTTTCATTCCAGGTGAAAAGAAGCAAAAATGTCAACAATCCAATTTTGACTGCGTGTGAGAAGCCTGATGGTAGAATCGTAGAATCATAGAATCATTAAGATTGAAAAAGAACTCTTAGATCATCTAGTCCAGCTGTAAACCTATCACCACATTAAGCAGTGTTGCTCAGTGCCACATTCACGTGTTTCTTGAGCACCTTCACGGTCAGTGACTCCACCACCTCCCTGGGCAGCCTATTCCTATGCCTGACCACTCTTTCTGAGAAGAATTTTTTCCTAATACACAATCTGAACCTCCCCTGGTGCAACTGAAGGCCTTTCCTTCTTGTCCTATTGCTACTTATGTGGGAGAAGAGACCAATCCCCACCACTCCACAAACTCCTTTTTGGTAGTTGTAGTGAGAAAGAGGATCTCCCTGGAGCCTGCTCTTCTCCAGACTGAACAATCCCAGTTCCCCCAACTGCTCCCTGTAAGACTTGTGCTCCAGACCCCTCACCAGCTTTGTTGCCCCTCTTTGGACACACTCCAGGGCCTCAATGTCTTTCTTGTAGTGAGGGGCCCAAGACTGAACACAGTACTTGAGGTGAAGCTGCACCAGACCTGAGTACAGGGGGACAATCACCCTCCTGTTCCTGCTGGCTACACTATTTCTGATACAAACCAGGATGCCACTGGCCTTCTTGGCCACCTGAGCTCACTGCTGGCTCATGTCAAGCCAGCTGCATCTAACACATCCAAATCCTTTCCCCTGTGCAGCTTTCCAGCCACTCTGCCTCAAGCCTGGAGTGATGCATGGGGTTGTTGTGGCCAAAGTGCAGGACAAGGCACTTGGCCTCAGCCCATTGATCCAGCCTATCTGGATCCCTCTGTAGGGCCCTCATACCCTCAGACACACCCATAGAATAATCCCTATTCCCAGCAATTACAACCATTACATGCCATCTGAGACTGGATGTGAAACAAGTCAAAGATTATTTGTGTCACCAACTTTGTTTTTCTCTTCTGCTTAACTCCTGCAAAGTAACTTATCAGAACGGAAAATGACAATGACACATCATCTCATCTTTTTGAAAAGGTACTGTAGCCACCAGAGATTCTGTTGCCCTTACTGAGACACTGAACTTGGGCTACATCCTTTGACCAACTAGACAGGCACCCACTGACATCCACAAAGCTTTTCAGGGGTTGGCCAAATTTCCTCAGCCACTGTACTTCTTTTTGAAGCTCTCAGTTGAAAAGACAGGACCTGAGCAGGTATGTCTTGTGTTTTTTTCTTTTTTCTTTTTTTCTTTCTTTCTTTCTTTTTTTTTTCATGAGTGTTCTTAATTCCCCCAAGTGAACAGAGGCACCGTTTTCTTCATTCCCTTCTCTCTCACTGTGCTCCTCAAAATCTTACTTCCATCCTCTCTGGAGATCTCCAGATCTGACTTATTGGTAACCCATTACAGAGCACCTGACTGCTTTACCATCCTAGCCAGGGCTTCACCAGGGCTGATGCAACATCTGTCTTCCACAATACAGCTCTTTGAGCTTAAAATTAAATACACCCTATACATCCCCTTGAAATTAAGCTCACAGTTATTGCAAGCACCAGATCATCTCCAAAAAGAAAAGCTTGGACAAGCTGTATATACAAATCCCATTACAGAAGGTTGATTTTTGTTCAAAAGCTCCATAGCATCAGTCACCCACAGACATCCAGCCCACCTAACCTGAAGGGTAAGAGGGATATCTAGAAACTTGTTTTAACTTCAGACTCTTCTGTATCTGATTCAGTGACAGCTGCACTCTCAGTCATTCACAACCTAAACAGGGTTGGCATGCAAATTGTTTTGAAGCCCTGCCTTTTTACTGTAATTGTCATTATTTTCTTTTGTGCTGTCTGTTCATTCCTGTGCATTCAAGGCTTTAGTCTGATACTGTCACTCTGGGAGAAACACTGCAGTTCCTAAAACTGGAGGCTGAAGTTCTTGGGACCCTCTTGCTCTACCGAACAGCAGGAGCAGTGGAGGTTGCTGCTCCTGGCTTCTAACAGATACCACGTGGTAACTAAATATTTAGAAAACAATCCCCCTCCTGATCTTTCCTCACCTTCTGCATTGATGCAAATAATAATTGGTCTTCTTCATTCTTATGTGCTACTGCAACATTACAGCATTTCTACCATCTGTAAGTATGTGTATTAAAACTTATTTCCTCTTTTTGTTTTGTTTTGTTTTACAATATTTGCTAGATTTGCAAATATTGATTTTGGGAGGATAAATAGTGCAACAAGATTCCTTAAAGCATCTAGAACTGTCTTACTGAACTCTTATGATTATGCAAACTGTATGATTATGGGATGATTCCATCTCCTATCAAGTGAAGGAAAAGAAAGTTATTAGGAGTAGTCAACGTGGATTCACCACAGGGAAATCTTGCTTGACCAATCTGGTGGCCTTCTATGATGTCATCACTGGCTGAGTAGATGGTGGTAGAGCAGTGGCTGTTGTGTACCTTGACTTCAGCATGGCTTTTGACACTCAGTAGGAGGTATGGGACAGACAAGTAGACAGTGAGGTGGATTGAGAACTGCTGAATGGCAGAGCTCAGAGGGTTGGGATCAGTGGTATATAGAATGGTTGGAGGCCTGTAAGTAGCGGGATCAGTACTGGGTCTGATCTTGTTCAGCTTCTTCTCAATGACCTGGATGAAAGGATGGATTTCACCCTTAGCAAATTTGCTGATGATACAAAGCTGGGAGGAGTGACTGGCACACAAGAAGGCTGTGCAGCCATTCAGCAAGACTGGGACAGACTGGAAAGCTGGGTGGACAGGAACCTTATGATGTTCATCAAAGGCAACTGCAGTTCTGTACCTGGGGAGGAATAACTGCACACATCTGTACAAGTTAGGGGCTGGAAAGGAGCTCTGCAGAGAAGGACCTGAGTATCCTGGTGGACAACAGGTTGGCCATGAGCCAGCTGTGTGCCCTTGTGGCCAAGGAGGCCAATGGAATCCTAGGGTGCATTAAAAAGAACCTGGCCAGCAGGTCAAGGGAGGTGATCCTTCCTCTCTACTCTGTCCTAGTGAGGTCTCATTAGTCTACATGTCTGCTGTGTCCAGTTCTGGGCTCCTCAGTCCAAGAAAGATGGGAGACTTGTAAAGAGAGTTCTGTAGAGGGCCACAGAGATAATGAGGGTCCTGGAGAATCTCTCTTAAAAGGAAAGGCTGAGTGACCTGGGACTGTTTAGTCTTGAGAAGAGATCTCTTCAACCCCTATAAATATCTAATGAGTTGGAGTCAAGTGGACGAGGACGGGGTCTTTTCAGTGGTGCACAGCGATAAGACTAGGGGCAATGGGCAGAAAGTGGAACATACAAAGTTCCATACCAACATGAGGAAAAACTTCTTTACAATGAGGGTGACAGAGTGCTGGAACAGGCTGCCCAGAGATGTGGAGTTTCCTTCTCTGGAGATATTCAAAGTCTGCCTGAACACTTTCCCACCTAGACATACTGTAGGGAACCAGCTTTAGCCAGCAGATTAGACTTGATGATCTCCAAAGGTCCCTTCCAACACCTATGATTCTGTGATTCTACGAGTGAGTGCTGTAGCATATTCTGTGGAGATTTGTCACCAAACAGCCTAGGCAAGTAAGACCAGACAACAGTGACTAAAGACAAAGTGGAGATACTGGAAATGCAGAGGTGAAAGGGATGCCTGGAGTGTGTATTACTGGGGCATGAAACATTGTCTGCATAAGTGACTTTCTGAATAGAGGATTGCACAAATTGAAGAAGACAGCAGTATCCTGCTTAGGTGTGCAGCTCAGGAATTCTGTCTGTAGCTGAAACGTAACGAGGTTTAGTGTGGAAGATGTTGCTTCCTGATACTTTCCAGTGAAAAAAAAAGGACAGGAAAACGTGACAGTTATATCATTTCAGTATCTGAGCACCTCACAACTAGTTTTTTTCCATATGTAAGTTCTGCTCTTTCCATATATATATGATATCTCTGAAATATGGAATTGAATCATCACAAAATCTGGGTACAGAGACCTGGGTTCTCAAAGTCACCCAGAAACATGCATCCCACTGATATAAATGAGAACAAAAAGCAAAAAAAACTCTACAACTGAATGAATTGTTGCAGATATACTAAAAATCCATGCAGACAGTGATATCACAGTCTTTCAACGTGTATCCACCGTTTTACCAAGTGGGCCAATACTGATTCCTAACTGTACTTTAGAAGGACTTCGTAATTGTAAAATACGTGAAAGAAAAGCAATCAGAATGAGTTATTCCTAGTTTTCCTAGGAACACTATAGTAATGAACTGCTCTTCATCACTTCTTTTTCAAGGTAATTTTCTCAGAGGCTACCCATGGGATTCTGCAAAAGCCTTAGTTGACTGACTCACTTTGAGCAGACCAGACTGCAGCTGAAACCTCTAAAAGACTCAGCTCTTAAAGATTCATTTCTTGTACTAGATGAGACAGGTGAGTACAGATTTGTAATATTTGCTTTATCTGAATTGCTATATTGTAGTAGTCCATTGATTCTGTCAACTTTTTACCCTTTCCCCCAGTTGCTGTTAGTGTCTAGCTTTAGACACTTTGACTCAATAAGGCCGAATGTCCAAGATTTTATGTTCTAATACACAATTACGTCTTCAAAGCATGCTAGCTTCTAGAAAGTACCCCACAAAGGGTCACTTCATTAGGCACCTGTCTGTGCATTCAGGAGCTGGATCACTGTCAGCAGTTATGCTCTTGAAGGAGTGAGAGCAGCTTCTCTTCCTATATCTGGCACCTCAAGTAGAACAAATTTGGATTATAAACTCAGAAGATAGATCTATATGACATGCCTGCAACATATACCCTTCACAACCATGGTATTTAACAATTCCCAGCATACACAGTCATCCATACACAACCTGAGAAAATACTTACGTGATCTGAGCAACTTAATCTAGTAGATGTCCCTGTCCATGGCAGGGAGGTTGAACTAGATTGAATGGTGTTCCTAATCTAAACCATTCTATGATTTCATAAGCAAGGCATTTTTGTTTTCCTCCTAGCAAGACTTGGCAGACCTGGAAGTAAGGAATTAATCAAGAACCTTGTTATACTTGATAGACTTTGGTGGCATTCTTAACCACATGAGGTGGTCAGAGGACTCACCTCCTGATTTGAGAAACCACATCCTTTTACAACAATCTGCTTTACTGCAAATTACTTTCTTCTGTATTAGCAGAATTACATTGTACTAACATACGGGGAATACCAGTAGCTTTAAAGAAAGAACAATTTTGTTGTTTGGCATGAATTTCTTCATTTATGGCAAAAGAAGAGGATGAGGCACACAGTTCTTCTTTGATGGAGTTAAGCAGGCTATGGACAGTGGAGCTGCAGCTCCATAGGAGCAGAAAACAGCCATAATAGAGCAGCAGACTTCATATAAGATGAGTCACTTGTTATTGGTAGAATCCTGAAGGCACAGAACAAGGCACTGAAGATCCACTTGGAAATTTTCTTTGTTTTAGAAACACTGAATCATAGTATTCTTATAATCATAGAATGGTTTGAGTTGGAAGAGCACTTAAGAATCATCTAGTTCCAGCCCCTGCTATGAGCACGGGCATCTTCCACTGGACCAATTTCTCAAAGCCCTATCCAGCCTGGCCTTGAACACCTCCAGGGCTGGGCATCCACAGCTTCTCTAGGCAGCCTGTTCTAGTGCCTCATCACCCTCTGAGTGAAGATTTTCTTCCTAAGGTCTATTCTAAATCTCCTCTCTTTTAGTTTATAACTATTACCTCTTGTCCTATCACTGCAGTCCCTGATAAACAACCCTCTCCCCTTTAACTAATGGAAGGCTGCTATAAAGTCTCCCTGAAGCTTTCTCTGCTTCAAGATGAACAATCTGAAATCTGTATCCTAGTTTGAAATCAACTTCTGGGACTGTCATTTGTCAGTGAAAATAGGCAACAAAAACGGATATATCATTATTCTGGAAATTACATAGGAAGGAGATCACGAAGCTCTGGGTTGTCCTACCCACCCAGAACAGTTCTGATGGCTCTCTGTCTAACACAACAGTCAAGGCCTTTTTCTCCTTCTACAAAGAGAAACACTACATTTGCATTTCAGTACAAAATGTTGAGCATTTGCTCATCACAAGGAAAATAATTGCCTGCTTATATGTCAAGGATTTTAAGTTTTGTATCTTTTCTCTTCTCCTGCACATTACATATAAGTTAGCACTGTGTTCTCAAGAGAAAACAAGGAGGGAACTAAAAGCTGAATTTTCTTTGTATTACAGCAACCAGCAATGAGTTTTCAAAAGGCAACAGCCCCTGGAAAAGAAGATCAGCATGTAACTTATTTGTCTACTGCAGTTTACTGCTTCTGTCCTGAAGTCTTTGCACGTGTGAGCCCTGTTCATCAGAAACACCAAAAATGAAGTAGTTCAGTGTGCTGGGCTCTTTTTGATGTTACATTTTCTGTGCTCTAGGGGGAATAAGAAATGCTAAATTTTACTTATTAATAAGGATCAGCACGGGAAAGATCTCCTAGTATTGGACACTAAATCATGAGATTTATGAAAGCAGACTTTTTTGCAACAGTACGACAAATTCTATATATAAACTCATCACCCCCACCCCACAGAAGCAGAGATATAACATGCCTTTTGTTCAGAGATTTACCATGTTTAATTATTCTTTTTTTTTTTTTTCAATAGCTTAACCATGTATTCAGTTAAATAAAGTAATAAACAAAAGTGTTCAAAGTGAGGCAATATTGTCTTTATGTTATTTTTCAATTGTGATCAGGTATCTGTGGGACATGGAAAACTAAAATCAAACAACATACATAATCTTTAATTCTCTAATAAAATTTAGTGCCAAATTCTGCTCTCAGGTATGTTTCTATAAAGCAGGATCCATAGTGGCATTACAGTACAATGGCATATTTCTGAGTTTAGAAAGGGCAAAAGGTAAGAAGTTGTTCTCACCTCTTAAAGGCTTGGCCCACACCAAACACTGAGCTGACATGCACCATCCTGCTGACCTGGTGCGAGCAGGTGCAGCAACACTCCTTGCAAATAAATCAGATTTCACCAGATTGTAATTTGGCTAAGTGACTTTAATTGGCCTGCTTCAGTAACTGAGAGCACAGTTTGGCTCCTTTCACGGTGAGAAGGCAGCCAACCAAACACAACTTTCACCAGGCCCCAGATTCTGGCCCCAGATTTCAACATACACTATTACATCGATCAAACGAACCATAGAAGTTACTTATCATTTTACTGTTCCTTAACACATTTCACACAGTCCTGCAGCGAGCAGAATCACAGATGAACCTCAGAACATACAGAGAGCACAACTACTACACTGGACATGAAAAGGAAATTTTATTAAACATGTTTACATAATATGAGTTGGAAGTTCATTTAAAAGCACAGGGGAGTGTTAAGACAAGTGGTCAGAATAGAAAGTTACTATCGAATTATAACTAGTTGGTTTTTGGCCACTAAGACAGAACAGGATCTAGTAGTAGTGCACCAATGCTTGAGTTCTTCCTGCTCAGCAGGTCGAGCAGTACCAATCTGTGCCCTATGGAAAGATGGGCAGAGTAATTCCAACGTGTTGAGTAATAATAAATAGTTCACTTGGTGCAGGCAGTATGTCTATGAGTTAAAACCTAGTGTGTACACAGTTTCTACATGTGTTACAACCCCACAGTAGGAATCTACACCAAAATATTTATTAGAAGGAATTTGGTCCATACTACATCACGTTTTCCATAGGGTAAAAAATAAAGTCCATCTATAGACATTTAGCACCAGACTCACAGACCTAGCCTGGCTAAAACCTGCAAAATGTCTATAAGAAAAATGGATGGCTTAGATTTCTTGGTTACTTCAGTATTGTAATTACGAGCAAACTGTACAAGTACATGCAACATACAAGCTGGCCTATGTGGAACTAACATACATTATTAAATAACCTTTTTCATCTCTTTTTACAAAACGTGCATGCAGCTTTGAACAGTTCCAAGTCATGCTGCTCTATTTGTGTGATCACAAAATCGAATGGCCTGTAAAAGGAGGGGAAACATATCAATGCACCTGCAGAATCTGCAGTTTTTAGCACATTTACAGGATATCACAAGGGATTTCAAGGCCAAGAAGAACTCAAATGAATAAAAAGCAAATTGAAATTTGACTTTTTTCTCCAAAAAGTAAGATATCTTGCGTTAAAAAATCAAGCCTTGTGCTTGCATCAATCTCAAAGAAATGTAAACTAAAATTTGATAAAAACATTAGTAAGTGCAGAATATTTCAACTGGAATTTCCAGTGAAACACTGAACAACTCATACCATGCTCTATCCAGGGCAGACTGGTGTGTCTGAAGCGACACATGTCAGAGAAGCCTGGGTACAGCTGAAAGTGTCATATGCTCAATCCATTCCTGGTCAACATTTTGGGAAGTCAAATATACATTTATACACAGAAACATAAGTATTCCCTCTCCATTTCTAGGAGGAAAACTGCATTACCAGTAACATATTCCATGTCAAAATTAAGAATAAAGCTGCTTTATACCAGTCCCCAGCATTAGTTGCAGAATTCTTCAAAATTCTTCCATGCAAAACATCATAAACATAAAAGTTAGTATATATAATGCAAACATATCTGCTTTTTACAAAGAAAAAGTGGCACTGTGATGATTAGTTACTTTTAAGAATATAACCTTAGTTGGTCATTTGTTCTGGGTTCCCACATGGGAGACTTTGAAGCACCAGAACCAAGAAACAATTTGAACGTGCTGGAATCATAACTGGCTGCTGAACACTTTAACGATGCTTACAGAGATATGCTTCAGCCCTTTTTTTTGTTTGGTTTAGAAGAAGAAAGGAAGGGTCTCTGTTAGCGTTGTGAGGACTTTTACAAAACTAGCAGAATCACATGGCAAAAAACTAGTGGAAGTAACAAATACAGAAAAACTGCTGAAACACCAGGAAGTTAACACTGCTTAGGGCTCTGTCAAAATGCGAAAAATACAACGTTGTTAACAGAGTGAGAGCTTCCAGTTTGGCTCATATTTGACTTAATTTGAATCTAAAGATCCCTTTCTCTCTCTCTCTCTCTTTTTTTTTTTTTTTAATATTTATTTGTTTGGCTTTGGATCATTATAAGCATCAGTGATAGCTGCTAACAGTTTGGCTGTATGTTATATACTTTTGTTCCATCAATGTAAGCCGTCTCTTGACAAACAACTCAGACATATTTTTGGATAACTACTACAAGCAAAAACAGAAGTGATTGTCTCTCTCCAACAGTGTTTTTGATCGTGTGAATATCTGGTTCCAATTGTTATCCTGGGTGATGTTTTATTAGGCAGCACCTGCTTCTATGATCTAATGCAGGGAGGCCCAGTTGAACTTTCCAGAGACGACTGGGAAGCTCTGCGTGTCAAGGGAGTCAAGGTTGGATCCACTAGTGATGAAGGTGGGAATAATTTATACCAGCCTATTACCACACTGGACAGATCCAATTCCTCGAGAAGGATCTGGGCAACTCCCATGAAGCATTTGTGATCCATTCGGCCATAGTCTCCCCAAACTATTACCTGTAAGAACACAAGATACAGGTTCAGCCTGGTTCAAAGAGCCGTGCTCACTCCTGCTGTATGTCACAATGTGTATAGTAAGGAAAATGTTTTTCTTAAGGGTGAATGATTGCTCCCTCTTATGAGAAAACTTAATGGCAGGACAGGAGCAAGAGTCAACTAAAGAGAAATGTTTAATACAGACAGACATTTCACAGGTCGGAAATGACAAGCCATGAGGATATGTTTGCTGATATTTAGAAAATTAAATACTTAGTGAGTTGGAATGGGTTTGCATATCTTACTTAAGAAAATATACAAGTGCTTTACCAAAAGATAGCCTAAATTGAGATTTGGAAGGAACTGACCTGGAGGACTTTACCCTGTGGACTTTCATCAAAAACTAGTGTCTGTTGGTACAAAGGATCAAGGGTCTTCCGTGCAATTCTTGTCTTCTTCTTTGCTATACATGCTCCATTTTCCAATAAGTAAACTTTGACATATGGAGCTGCAAACAAAACATCATTAATTTTATTTTTGGACTTAAAAACTTCTTCATAAAAGGAAGATGAGTAGAAAGACCACGACATGCTATCTTTGTTGTATAGTCTGAATACAATTACACTTGTTAAATAAATGACACAGACCATAAGGAACCCATTTAATTTTTATAACCCTTAAATTTAACGATCCAAGATGTTACTAATAAAATTCTGTTTCACTGTTTCATCTGTCATTCTAAAAACACTTTCCTTTGCCAGGAATTAACTGTCTCTGATAGCTAAGCTGGAGTCACTATGTAGAGGTTAGAGATACATCAGAATAGAAGACTTAAATATTTCATTGAAAGCTAAGTCATTCAGATAACACAGACACTAACTGCTCTTTTGTCTTAGGCTCTTAAGAAGGCTGCAAAGTACCATTTTGCCAAAGTCCTATCTAAAACAAGAGTTCCTGTTGTTATAGTAAGCAGTGCTTGTAGCAATTATTATATATCTCTTCTAATGAAGATTTCTATAAATAACTAGGACATTAAAAATATTCTTATAAAATGATATTTCATTCATTATACAGATTACTGACACAGGCACTAGCATCACATGCAAGATTCTTCAAGCACTGTTGCATACAGAAGACTATGACTTGCGGGTCTACTAAGCTGTTTGTTCAGAGCACAGTCATCTGTTCTTTGTCTCATTTTGGTGGGAAACAAACACAAAGGACTTCATGTACATTGATAAAGTCTTTCTGAGAGATATGACTTGCTTAAAACACATGGGAATACTTCTGCAAATGTTCTGTTCAGAACGGGTTTTGAATTGCTAAAACTAATTCCTTGAAAAGTGACATGCAATTAGCAGGTGCATGTGGTATGAAGTTGACTGATAACAAGGATATATCCATGCATACATTCCTCGCAAATAAAATGTATTTACATCTAACAGGGTGCTTAAAAAGCCTCCAATCCCCAGTCCACCAGCATATTTCATATTCCTGATTTCTGTTCACATATTGTTTATTTTTCCCTTACCTGGGGTAGATTTGGAGCCAGGTTTTTGTGTGAGGCCACGGGCTCTAATGACTTCTACTTCTAACTGTCCCTTTTTATCCACCATGCCAATCTGGATATCACCTGAGGGAGAAGAAGAACATTTTAGAGAAGCAGAACAGCCTGGGAGATATGAGAATAAGAAAGAGAAACAGAAAGGTTAGTGTTCTACTGGTCTGCTCTGTGAGTGTGCTTGTCACCTCTCCCGATCCCTTACATTTATCTGTCCTTAACCTAGAACTAAATGGGTCTGTGACCCATGGGGGCAAGCAACGTATAAAATGGTATAAACACCATCCTTTTCATGTCACATTATGACCTAGAGACTTCTCACACAGGACTGCTGCCTCAGCAGCACTTCCCTAGCAGTGGTCCCAAATGCCAACAGCCTAAAACCCAAATTCATGTTCAGATATCCCCTCAGCTGGACATTTCTGTCTCCAAGCTGAAATGTAAGAGCTAGGAGTGCAACGCCTCCTTGTCTGGTTAACAGGAAGGGGAACTGCTGATTGAGGTTCACTTTGAACTCTCTGTACCTCATTTGCCTGAGGGGATCCTTTGTGTAAGGCAGATGCACCAACCTGTTTTGGCATACAAAAACAGTAGCTTCAGAGAATGATGCCCTATCCTCCAGGAACTCAAAAGAAGTGTACTGCAAAGAGCTCTAAGAAGTATTAATGTGCCAATTATTCTATTTTTATTAATACTGCATGCCTATTTTTGTTGTGAATGAAATAATGCAGCTTGCTAAAACCTGCTTTTGCTAATAGTCAAGCTGCTGTTTCCTTGCATGAATTCTGACAAACTACATTTCCTGCAGAAAATGAAACTCCTTGTTCCAAGACCAATAAAATGCATGGAAAGTTACCTTAACTATAGGCTGATGCTCAAAGTGTTGGACCTGTATGATTCCATCTATTATGGAATCAGCTGGGTAGAAATCTAACAGGCCACTTAGAAACAGTTAGAATCAATACAGCGTGTAGCTTTGTGACTTCAGTGCAGATAAATGAACTGTCCATATATCCATGCCACATCTGAATAGGGAAATATTTGAGATTTAAACTCTGAATTAAAAAAAAAAAATAATAGATAGTCCTGAACTACAGAATTAGAGGGTTCTAGATTTAGAACTACAGCATTTTGAAATGAAGCAGGCATATGTAATGGAAGATTGAAGCAGTGGTTATACCTTGCCACAGGAGGTATGACAGAGCAGCAGGAAAGGCTTTTACCTGGCAGACTTTGCTTGAATAACCATGTTTTGTGTTTCACTAAAAATAGTTCAAAGGAAAATTCCAAGAAGCAGTATTAAGACTACATCTCAGTATTGCACAACCAAATAAAAGCATGGTACAGGAAGCCAGAAGGGGGAGCAACAATCCCGGTATTTGTCAATGGCAGCAGGATACAGAAGATGTGAAAGTTGTAAAAAGTGTGGCAAAATACTTCTCAGGGGGCTGAAACTCAAGCCCTTAGTAAATAAAAAAATTTGAAGAAGTGAAAATAAATGTGACTCAAGGAATCTGCAGAAAAATAGGAGATTAAAGTAAAGATGAAAGAAATTTAGACCCCTGTATTCATACCAGCAGAGCCACTTAGATTTAGAAAATATTCTCACTGATACTTCTGAGAGTGCTGTACTAAAGCACCTAGGATCTTACCATTTCCAGTATGGTTAATGGAGTATATCAAGGACTCCTTGCTTAGAATCCTAAACATGTAGTATTTGAAGCATGCCTAAAAATTGTCCAGGTACAAGCAAAAAGGTATCAAACTGCTCCAAAGACACTTGTACAGTACTGTGCTGCTGCACAGCACTCATACACTATTCATAGCCAAGATACAGCTAACACTAATATAGGGTTATCTAGACTGGTTTGGAGTACTGAGAAAATTGCACATAGATCCAGACAACTGCTGTAGAAAAGAATTTTGTCATTACACACACTGGCTTTATCAATAACTGATAACTGGGCATTGCAGATGTGGGTAGAAATTTCAGGTTCTGGAGTTACTTTGGGATGAACCAAGCTTGGAAAAGTGCAGAGTTTGGCAAGAAACCGTCTTCATATCCAGTATAATCTGTGGTGATCAAATATAAATGCTGAACAACTGAGATTTCACAGTGATTGGAGAACCCACAATAACTTCCCAGTGGGAAGGAAAGTGCAACTTCTATCTTCAAATTGCAAATAAGATTAAAAGACACTTAACATCTGCAGCAATAGTGTTTCTCAACTCATTCTGGATGCAAGCATGCCAGAAATACCAGTAGGAATACCAGTGACCAGGTACAGGATTTTCATGTTTACAGTGAAAGAAGCCAATTCATAAAAGCCTTTTTGGTGCTGTAGTCTAGCAGTGCGTTTGATAGGTACTGTTTTATTATTCATCTAACATATAACATAATACTCTTACCCATGGCAGGAGTTGCCAGTGTTTGTCGGCCTACTAATTGTGCAGGTCCAAGTCCATCAAGGAAATCACTGAACTGACTGTCAGCGCCCAGCCGTACCCCAGGAAATATTAAGCTGAAAGAAAGTAAAAGCAGATTAAGCATAAAATCAGGATTAATTTCCATTGTCCTACAGTATTTTCCCACAAAATACTTCTTACACAAGGCAAACAGCTCAGAATGTGCAACCACAAAATGTTCTGCAGTGTCATGAAATGCAGAGGCCTATTACTTTACATTCCTGAATGCCTAATTTAATTTTTAATACAATTTTGTATTGATAGACATATCCAAATGTTATCTGCACCAGCTAGAATAAACAAGGAAAAGCAATGCAAACATTAAATGTACTGATTGTCGGAGCTAAAGCCATAAACTGGCAGATAGTACTAGTGGGGATGAGACCTAAGCCACCCTTTTTCAGGACTGAACTGCATTCACACAGACTGTATGTGCATTTCCAAACTGCTTTTTTGTAATGTAGAATTTCCACTTTCTTTTGAATGCATATACAATCTCCAAACAATAATAAAACAGAGAAATGAAAAAATTCAAAGAATAATCCATAGTGGGGAATCTCAGCTTCAGCTTCCCCATTACAGTCAGCAGGAACAGAAGAATGGAGTCTGAACTAAGCCTGGATAGCATCTTACCCAGTAGGCTATCCACCATTCTGTATCTAATTCTCTCAAAGGAAATTTACTGTTAGACTCAATAAAAAAGTAACAAAAATTCCTATTTAAGGCATCTAGTGTGAAAAGCTTTGTTTTCCAGAGACCAGATTTATGTGATCCATACAATTCACAGTAAAAATTCTCAGCAAGCTGCAGTTAGTGGGTACAAAAAGCCCATTCCTCTCTTCAAGACTAACTGCTCTCACAATGTTTGCATAAAGACATTGACCGTCTGTAACTGAAATTGACCAGAAAATACCAGCACAGTGCTTTTCATTAGAAAACTTCGATTCACCAAAAGGTAAGCTTTTCACAAAAGCTTAAAGAAATCTTATTTAAGGTTTCTTTAGGTGGAAGAGAAGAAGCCTCCAGTTCAGCCATGAGCCTCCCAGCAATGGCAGTAACCTAACTCCAAGATGCAGGTTCAAGCCTTGTGCTATGCCTGTCAAGTCATCCAGTCTGCTTCTTCCCCAAGTGGCACTACTCACCACTCCTGCAGCTGCTAGGAATAGTTTCTTGTTTGTTTTTTGTCATTTTTTTCCCAAAATGCCTGTTACATTTTGCTGAAGAATTACTAGGATTAAAAATCATCAGTGTTCTCATTTTTCAGACATCTCTAAATACACAAACAACAAATGGTATGAAGTACTCTATTCTCTTTAATGATCAAGAATTGCAACTCATAAAACTCTAATTATGGCTCAAGCAGAAGAACATAATGTGATACTTGGGGTATCTCCTGTAGGACTCTGTGATTTCTGCTAAGCTATTTATCTGGTTGATATTGCTAAGTGCAGGATGAGGCATGACACTACCTATAAATTAACTATGTGACTCTACAATTAATGGCAGTATCATAATGCACACACACAAGGAAGGGAAAATTGTCCATGCAAATTCAACGCAAACACCTCCTAATTGCCATAATTACCTGCCCACTGTAAGGGTGAACTGCAAACAAAATACTATTCAAGTAACCAAAGTCAAGCTCCTGTGGATGCCTCATCAAAATGATGGGAATCTCACAGGAGACAGGATAAAAATTTCAACCCACAGTATTGCATCCTCTTAAAGGAACGTTTCTCTTCCTTCATTGCAGCAAACTATATTTAACTTTATAACCTGAGTTTTGTTATCTGCCTCCTTTGGACCATCACCCTTGGCTTCCCTCTGTTAAATATCACTGTTCTTCTCACTTCATTGTCCTCACTGTTGCCTTTCTCTTGCCAGGGACTGGAATAGGGCTGTAGAGACCAGGGACAGTGGTTAAGGTTAAGGTCAATTGCAAACTGAGTCAGGGAACAAACCTCAGGCATCCTGGTGATCAGGAATCAACCAGAAGACCTTGTAATTCTATCAGTGCAGGGCTCCCATCTCTTCAGTACTGCTAACCAGAAAAATAGGCCAGTCTCTAGTCCCTTAAAGGAGGAATTCTTCATTGCCATGGTGAATGGAGCCTTGTAGACTGGCAGTTCATTGCAGAGAGATGAAGGATAAGAGGATGGAATGCTGAAGGGCAAAGGTAGTGCCCTATGATCTGATGATGGAGTAACTGCACCTTTATACTTCTCCTTGCCACCATCATGGCTGATTGGCTCTTCATCCCTCTTAAAAACTATCAGTTGTGTAATAGTGTAAGCATTTTAAAAGATGAAGCCAAAGAAGTCCCTATTGTCCATTTTTTACCTGGTCTGTAAAACAGAATTTGATACCTCCAGTTTTCACTTTTGCAGGGGACAACTCGTAAGAATTCTCTGGTGATCACTGAGCCTTTGCACACAAGGTAGAGTCCTATTGATATCTGTAGGGAGGCTACAGTACTTATTCACACTTCTGTGTCAAATTGGCTTTTGTTATCCTTTCCTAGAAGCTCAGTCATTCAGCAGTGAATGAAAACAGCTGCCCCATTTACCCACAGTTGTGTGCTCGGTTTTAGCTGATGGCACAGTTGATGTCTGGTTTTACAATTCGTCTGGTTTTACAATTCTCAATAAGAGACTTGGACCAAGTCCAAAGTAAACTCTCTTTGTATACAGTACTACTGAACACAGTTTCATATCACAGGGATTTACACACAGCATCTGAAGTTTAACTCCAAGTTAATCCAAACACAACTCAAAGACAAGTTTTGTTTTGAATAATGCAGTCTGAATTCAGTTCTCTTTTGATGAACAAAATGTCTCACAGGATAGCAGGGAAAGTGTGAAACCCAAAGACGTCCTCTTTTAATTTCAATTTTCAATATATTACATGCCCCAAATAGTTTAGTTTTGCTAACATTTTCTCAAGAGGAAGAATCTGCACACATACCTATCCCTTCAGCCCAAGGTGGGACCTCTGTTCACATCCCAAGTTTCTTTAAAAGGCAAGAGGTTTTTCTTACATTACTGTACTTTTAATGCCACTTACTTGCCCTCAGAGCTGTAACTATTTATGCTGCCATCGGTGGATTCTCGACTTGGCTGTCGAACCATACGACTCCTCATCTCTGCAGCCATTCCTGTCTCTGTGCTTCTTTGTATCGTGCTCTTTAGCTTCTTATTGCCAGCCTCTGAAAGCAGAGAGAAATAAAAAAAAAGTTAGTTAGAATGACAGCCTAGCACAAAGCCTTTCCTTGCAGTTTTCCGTAACAGAAGTAATGTGACATCTCTTCTTCAGCTGAAAACTGGTCATGGTTTCTCTTTAAAAGGGCTGACACCCTCTATTAATGTGCTATTATTAATCTTTATACAACTAGAAAGTAGACAGGATGACTGTGATAGTGTATGTTAACCAGGTGGTAAGATGTCCCTCGTCACATTAGGTTAGGGGAATACAAATTTATGACTGTCTCAGGAAAAAAGAAGAAAGAAAACTCTTCATGCATTCAACAGAAAAATGTTAAGCACTAAAATACTTGGTATCAAAAACATAACAACATATTTTCACACAGCAAAATTTTTCACCACAAAGTAATTAGTGAGCGTTACATAATTTCTAAGCAAAATAATCTTTTAGGAATCCCTTTGGAAGATGATGAAGACCACAGAACTTGAGTTTGCATATGAATGCTACAAAGTAAAGTGCATTTCATGAAATCATTTAACAGCTCAATATGTTTGGAAAAGTTTCCATCACAGTTTTTTTTTTTTTTAATTTAAATTTTAAATCCTTTGAGTTCCACTTGTAAGCTTCCAGGTCATCTTGGAGCAGGGAGAGCTTCCAGTCCCTTCCAGGCGCAGTTCCGAGCTCCAGGTGTAACAGCCAATTTACAATGAATTCTACTCCAAATCTTATGTTCCTAAAGGATGGCAATTGTTTTAAAAATCTTTAACTGAAATACTTCTACCAAAGTCTCTACGTAACACAGAAATCTGCGTTGCCTTTAGACTCAGTACCCTGCTCATTTTCTTTTAATTCAGCCTATCATTCAATGCGTAACACTAATCTCTCAAGAAGCAGTAGATATGACAAGGTTTCACGTGAACAAATGCAGAAACCTCCTGCATTTTCCTCTTCATTTAAGTCATATTTCATTCACTGTCTACAAAGTTTCTATTTTCTTTCTGCATTCTGCTTTCAGGAATACCTGGGGAAAAAAAAATGCTTCTTCCATCTTCACCTGCTACAGAGACTGAAAACTTTTTCACTTTCTTATTTCACACAGAGATTGTTGATGTTTGGCTATGATAGACCTTAGTCACACTTCAGACAGAAGCTAGGAATCTCGTAGTCCCACCATAGCTTCAACTTTCTGGCAGATGGCTGGCCTTTGCTCTTTGGGTCTTCAGAGCTGATTCACAGCAGGGAGAAATCCCATAGGACAGAGCAGCTCTTCCTCTCCAAGGGCTATCATCTCTTTGGTGCTATCAGAGAAGATGGATAACATGGCCAAAACAAAAAAAGAAAGAATTTGTATACAGAGTGAAGAAGAGACACTGCCACATCAAAAAAAGGCTGTGGTCCTTCCTGTAAACTTTCTATTTGAGTGGTTGTTTATTTATGGCCATCCAGAAGCAGGGAAATAAATACCTCTCAGTGGAAGAAATCAGCTACTTACATACAGCCACAGACCTTTTGCTCTCTTCTGAGGACAACAGTTCTGTGGTTTTACTGTGTGCTTTTGCTGCAACTTATCCAAATTTCCAGTACTTGGTGAGTTGAAAATGCATTATTCAATGCCTTGAATCATGGAGAAGACTGGACTAGATGAGGTAGAGCAGGATCCACTCCCAGACAATGTAGGTGGCAGTACAGGGTACTTCATAAAACTTAAGTGACTCGAAATATAGGAAAGCATAATACAACATTTTGAGCCTATGCTTTATCTTAAAAAACAAAGCAAAACAAAAAACAAACAAAAAACAAACAACAGATAATGTGCACACCTATAATCTAGCATGTCAGTGCTGAAACATACGATGAGCATCAAAAAATAATCAAAAGGCAGTCGAAGATATAAAACCCACAAGCAGACTCTTATGACAAAGAAGAATTCTTGTATTTTCAGTAGATTCGTATTTGCCACCCATGTTGTCTTTTACTTCTCTCTTCTCTGAAAGTGTCTCTGTTTCCATCTGTTCCCACACAGCAGGTCAGATTATATAGTTTAAACCCTGCAGTGTTTACTGCAGCCAGCCAGATCAGGCAGCATGACCGGAAAGATAAAATACAGTAGAGCCTGAAAAGCAAGCATTTGAATGGAAGTGCCTGTGAATATTTATGGCTCACAAAACTTGAGTGATGAGACAGTAAAGGAACAAGACTATCATGACCTTGGCACAAGGCAAGGAGAGAGATGCTGATTCAGGCCACCTGAACAACGTAGTGAATGCGGAAATCCATTAATGAGAGAAAGTTTGCTTGGGAAGTATAATAAAAAGCAGATTCATAGAAATAATCACTATACACATTTCCAGTGACTAAATTAAAAAACAAACAAACAAAAAAACCCCCACGATTTTAGCTTAGAGCACAGCATAGGCTGAAAATTGCAAGTGGTTTGTCATGTAAGAGTAATTTAATATTACCATGGAGAAAATTCATGTTGCTGCTTGAACGTGCTTCTTAGATTGTTAAATGCACAGACTGTGCAGGGCAAATCCTTGCACAAGCCACACTTTTATCTCACTGTGCTGCATATATCAGATTGTCTACTTCTGAATGCTTTTAAAGTTGCTGCTCTCTGCCTTACCGCTCTGGATTTCACTTCTTGTTTTCCCCATCAAAATTTTTTTTTTTGGTTGAAGATTAAAAAAAAAAAAATCTTTGCCTCCTCCTGTAAATGTTACCAATATCTGCAATGTTACTTTGGAAAATAAAAGTCATTGCTCAGATTTTATTTTACAATCTCAATCTTAATATTCTGCAGTACAATAAAACATAACATAAAAGTAACCCAAGACAGAATGGCAAAATACATGAATTTTATGGCATAAAGAGAATTGCTTTTGCCCAGGACTAAGAACTGAAATACACATTTCATGGGTTTTTAAAGTTTTACACAGGTCAGTTATGCACATCGTGGGTGTTTCTTTTTTTTTTTTTTCTTTTATGCCTACTGCAGCACAAAAAGAAATGAGAACAATTTATCTCAGAGCATACTCTGGTAAACTTCTCAGGAAAGCCTTGTTCTGCATGGCATGAGGTGGTTAAAGCAGAGCTGAGCTGGGACCTTCTACTATTTCTGGAGGGGGCCAGGTAATGCGGAGTCACTCTGGGGTGCAGCTTCCAGACCTGCATTGACTGCACAATGAGATGTGGGATCTGATCAACTACCAATGTTTCTCTGGCTCCTTGTAATGTGTATTTTTCTCAACTATCATTTTTGTCTTGTATTGGTTATTCAGGCTAGCAGTTCAGCATACAACCCTGGAACCCTGCCTTTACACGAACAGTAGAAGTTCATTAAAAATTTAAGTTCAATATCTACGCTGTGATACACTGAGAAGATTTTCTACTCTTGTCTGAGTATTTATTGGAGAGCACTTGGTCCTGCTGCTGATTTGTATTAGTTTGATATGTACAGTTAAGTTTTATAATATGTGACAGTTATTTGCCTGCACTGTATAAATTGCATTATACTCATTGTACAGACTGAAGATAAACTGTCTCTATACTGAATACCATCTAGGGGAAAAATGAATTCCAAAATGTGCTGTATAATTCTATCCGCTCTGTCTATTGTGTAAGGCTTTCTTCAAGCAGAAATGCAGATTAATGTGCATAAATTCCATTCACCCAAACACACAGTTTAACAGGTATAAGCTAGAGAAAAACAATTACAGAGCAATTGTGATAAACATTTTTGCAGGTTTGATAACAAATGAAGAAGAATCATAAAACAGTCATCTGCAGCTGTAAGACATGCTTGGCTTGCATACTTTTTGCCCTGCTACAACACACCAATGAGCATTTGGCATTTGCTGGTTCGTTCCACATCTTATAAATAGAGCGTATAGTGATTTTTTACTCTAACAAGAAAAATGCTAATGCAATTGATGTATTCCAATTTCTGTACTTTTTAATCACCTCCAAACATAGCATCCAGGGGAAAAAAATGCTACTGTCAACAGAAAGAGTTAGTGATAGTACCTATAGCAACAGGATGGCCTACTAGAGATACCTCAAGGCTAGATTTACATTTCTACAGGCATTCAAATCAGAGAGAACAATGGAAAGACAAACAGCCCCAAATCACTCGTATCCCTTTAGAGTCATGACTGCCCACTGTGTTTCACTGGCCTGGCTCTCTACCGTCTATGTACTGCCCGTAAACAAAACTGACACTTTTGCCCTTTTTTCAATATGAAAAGTCTGAGAATATCTAAAGGAGATGTGCCACAACCCGCTGGAATTAAGCTTTTATGGTGCAATGTAAAGGTGTATATTTGATGCCATAGGACATTTGGGAATATGCAGGGACACAAACTTGGTGACTTAGTCAACAGGATGCTTTAAGAGATCTCTGTAGGCCAAAAAATGACATGGATATTTGTACTGCTGATGGTGAAAGAGATGCCTTAAGAACTGCCCAGAACCTCACCTGAGAAAAACTAGTTAGCACCAAAAAAAAAAAAAAAAAAAGCAGAAAATACACACATGGGTATGTAGTATGTAAAACTGATGACCCATTCAAAAGAACACTAAAGAAAGCAAAGCATGAAGCATGCACCATTGCTCAATCCTCTAAAGGAAGTGATAACAAGCCAGGTGCTGATAATATCATTGCATTACTCAAGGGCAATTCAAGGTTTCAAGCGTGCTCATGCACATGAGGATGAAAGCCTAAAAGGACTACAGTTCCAAGCCAGCTCTGACAGCAGCCTGGCTGGGTTGTGGCCATGGTGTTGGCCTGCACGTTGCCTGTGTGACCATGTCACACCAGGAAGACTACGCCAACTGAAATATCATGGGTCATTCTCAACTGAAGGAACTGTGAGAAAACGAAAACCAAAGGGCACATTTCCTTCTGGTTCTTTTTAACGTGTTACTTTGCAGCCCCAATTTTGACTGCTGGAAGACTTGCAGAATTACAAGTTGTGCTACATCCCACTCACTCTGCGTGTAACA